AAGTCAGGACAGGACACAACTGTGATTCAGATGTAGGGCACTGCTATGTCTACCATTTTTAATTTCACCAGGTTCATGAAGAAAATGATTTCATAGGGCTCTAACCTGAACTTTACCTAGAGATTTCAAGAAAATCATGTATTCATACATTCATCTCTAAAATACCAAGGACGGTATGTTTTATTTTTAGTCATCAGCGTTGAGTTTCCATCAACAATTAACACGTGAATGCTACCGACTCCAACATCAACATCTGCAGCCTGGAGCTGCCTGCTCCTCAGCTTTTTTACCCATGCGGCCCAGTGACACCCTTAGACCTCAGCATGTACAAAACCAGACTGTCCTCCTTCATCTACTCTATCCTAAATGAGTTTCTTCTCAAGTTTCCCATCTCAACCAATCACATTATCATCCATGCACTGCCCAAACTCAAATCTGAGTCACCCTAGATTTCTCTCTTAACCACTATCAATTCTCATCACTAGGACACATCAATTCTACCTCCTGTATATCTCTAAAACTATGTGTAACTTACCCCAACCAACTGTACGTGCTCCAAAAAAACAACGGCATACAAAAGCTAGGGAGGGTACAAGCCAGAACAATGAGGCCAAATATGAGAGCAGGCTGGATAACTACCTGAGTAATACGAACAATGGCTGCCCCTGCTCCTTAATGAGTACTGGCTCTGGGAGTCTGGTTTCTTTCAGGTGGCCTCAGCTTCAACATACTGGGACTGGGAGCAGAGTGCGGGGCTGAGGGCAACCTAATAAACAATGTGTGCTCCCAGAAAGCGCACTGTACTCCAAAATGGACGTCACCACCCCAGCTTCCCGGCATGTACTCCTAAATGGACGTCACCACCCCAGCTTCCCTGCACTGTGCTCCTAAATGGACGTCACCACCCCAGCTTCACCACACTGTACTCCTAAAGGGACATCACCACCCCAGCTTCCCTGCACTGTGCTCCTAAATGGAAGTCACCACCCCAGCTTCCCTGCACTGTACTCCAAAATGGACGTCACCACCCCAGCTTCACCACACTGTGCTCCTAAATGGAAGTCACCACCCCAGCTTCACCACACTGTGCTCCTAAATGGAAGTCACCACCCCAGCTTCCCGGCACTGTACTCCTAAATGGAAGTCACCACCCCAGCTTCACCACACTGTACTCCTAAATGGAAGTCACCACCCCAGCTTCACCACTCTGTAC